GGCCCGCTAAGGCTCGAGCCTAAAGCTCGGGCCGAGCCTCATTTTTTTTGGTCGGGCCCGGCTCGGCTCGACTCGGGCCAAAAAAAGCTCGGTCCAAAAAAGCTCGGGCCGGGCTCGGGCTCGGCTCGGCTCGGCTCGTTGCCACCTCTAGTTATGTGATGGTAAGGGCTAAGTTGCTTGGCTTGGTCATTTTGTCACCACCCCTACCTATTAGTTTCGAGTTTTAACTTTATATTTCAGTTTCATTTTTCATTTTTCTCATGTAGGTCTAACGGCCTCATGTAAAGGAATTGAGTAGGCGGAGGATGAAAATGGAACTCGATATTATTAACTTCTCAATGACTCATTCGTTTATATTTTGTTTGTTAGTTTGGTTCATGGTTTGGTTCGATTCGATTATCTTGGAACCAGAACCAAATAGAACCACGTCCACCCCTAGATTATTTGAAAGTTGGTGTATCTTTGGATCTAATAGCAAGAATCAAATAACCATCCTGTAATTCTATTTTGCAAAGTTATAATTTGATTTGATATTTATAACATTTTCAGCAAGGTTACTTTAATGACAATATAACAAACCATAATATAAATATTGGTTGATAAAATAACAAAGCAAAATAAAATCAGTTTAAGCAAAAAGCGTACATCAATACAAACATATAATCCAATCATATAATCCTCATAAGCTTAATAATAGATGTCAAACTCAATCACTAGTTTGCAATCAATACATAAATTGAGGTGAACAGAATTACAGTCACATTAATTTTTGGGATAGGAGAAATGAGGCATAAGTCTGATATAAATGATATTTAAATCCCTACAGAATCTTACAACTCCAGCCTAGCACTATCTTGAATTATTTATAAGGAAAATTATAAAAAATCAGGGGTTTAAAAATAATTTTTAAAAAATCAGGTCCAGAGTTTATTTATTCAAAATTCAGGTAATATATCAAAACTCTAACCCTAATTCATCTATCTCTCTCTCTCTCTCTCTCTTTCTCTCTCTCTCCTCACGTCTCCCCGCCTCTCTCACTCACCTCTCACTCTCTCTCTCTCGCCTCACTTTTCCCTACCTCTCCGTAGCGCCGCCTGTGTCATTGAAGACCACGGTGGAGCTCGTCACTGTGCAGCGAGCGCCGCTTCATCTCTGAGCTTCGCCGTGCAGCGGGTCGGGTTTGTGTGCTTCAACTTTTTATGTCACAGATCTGAATAGGGTCTGCCCAAGTGAACTGCAAATAGGTGGAAGGGAAGCTTGTAAGAATGCGTGTGAAGCTTTCGGGAGTCCAGAGTATTGCTGCAGCTGCGCGTTTAACTCACCTGCCACCTGCAAGCCGTCAGTTTATGCTCAGATGTTCAAATCTACTTGTCCCAGATCCTATAGCTACGCTTATGATGATCCTACCAGTACTTTCACCTGCTATGGTGCAGATTATACTGTAACCTTTTGGTAGTGCAATAGTGGTGGTGGTTGTGGTTTTTGGGCTCCTCGATCTTAGTCGCTGCACGGCGTTCAGTCACAGTGGTGGTGGGTGGTGTTGGTGTGGTTGTGGGTTGACTGTGTGGTGATGGTTGTGCGGTGGATCTAGGTAAGACGGCAGTGGTGATTTGGGTGGTGTTGGTGAGGTTGTGTGGTGATGGTGGGGCGGTAGATCTAGGAAGGACGGCGGTGGTGGTCGTTGGCAGTGGTAATTTGGGTTTTCTGTGACTAAAAATATAATATGTGACCTTAAAATTCTATAATCTGTGACTAAAAATATAATCTTTGACCAACCATTTTTTCATCTGTGGCCTAAGAATTATATAATCTGTGACCATAAAAAAATTTGTGACCAATTAATTTGGAAATCTGTAACTGTGTGACCTATAAACTTTGATCTGTGACCAACGAATTAATGTGATCTATAAAATTTTTGAACTGTGATCATAAATTGTAAATCTGTGACCAGAATGGTCACCGAAATAGTTGTCGAAATAATTGTCGGAATCGGAACAGTCGTTGGAACGGTCGTCGAAGAAGAGTGGTGGTTGGAATGAACGTCGGAATAGTCCCCGGAGCGGTATGGATGGTGCATGTGGGATGTGTTAATTATATTATATTAGAATTAAATATTTAATAATAAATTGATTTAATAATTTGTTATTTCATAAATAAAAAATAAAAAATAACCCGATTTTTGAATTTTCAAACTATAAACCTAATTTTTGAATTGGTGTAAAGAATAGACTTTATTTATAAGTTTTTCCCTATTTATAAATGGTTAGGGCATACTAAAATGGTAAACATAAATTTTCTAGTCAAATCAAGTGGGCCAATAAGTAATATAATAGTGCCGATTTCACGTAACCGTGATATTAACCTTTATATCAAAGATAACAATTGTGTAATTTAGCCACCATTTTTGACTTATTTAAACGGTAAACTAGACAATTGACATGAATGTACATGAATTCATCCACTCTCTTGATTTTGCTTTTAGGGAACGTACCAAAATAAAAACAGAATTTGATTTAACATGTACAGTGATTTTTTTTTATCAACATAACGATACAACTAATGCATATCAGGATCCATAAAAACTTTCAATATTGAAAAGGAAAAACATGATAGTTTCAACCATGGCTTCCGTTGAAAATTGGTTTAGAAGATTGAAAATTTGGTTAAGTGTCACAATCAAAAAATTGGACAAGTGATTTCGTGTCAACTTCGGCCAAATATTCAGAATTGATCCGATGGTCAAATTACAAATGTAAATAGACCAAGAAGATTGAAAATTTGGTTAAGTGTAAAAAAGAAATTAATTTGAAAAAGTGACTTTCGTATCAGTTTCGGCCAAATATTCGGATTTGATCCGATGTTCAAATTACAAATGTAAATAAACCAACTTGTTTTACTCATTGAGTAGATCGTCGTGGTATATTTGATATCTTAAAAACAATTCCGGATAAATGAGAAATTGCAGTCCAAAGTTGGAAAGAAAATAGAGACAAATGCCGAATATTTGCCTAAGTGTGTCGTTTGCCTAACGTTGGACTGTCGCTTGAGCAACAGGCTAGTGACTTTATCGCTCAAGCGAGGCGATTGTGACATGTTAGCGACAGTGAATGGTGCAACCTTTGGCAAGAGTTGTTGAGTTTGGGGCGCGACACTTCATTCACAACCCCTTATCATCTATTTATAATACCCATTGGACGTCCATTAGGCATCCCATACCATATTTGCATTGAGCGTTGCATAAAAATTCTTGCAGAACACTTCCAAATCCATTCAAAATCGTTTTCTTCTTTTAAGATGAGAAACTCCGTCGAAAGTTCGCCGTAACTTGTGGTTTGAAGTGCTTATACCATAAGTTGATCCGTTGTATTTTGTGAGACAAGTGCCGTGAACCATGAGCATCGTTGTGGGGCAATTTTGTCTTAAGGAAATAGTGAAAACCACTTGTCTTGAATTGTTCTTCTTTTTCTTTATTTCTTGGCTGCCATTTGTTTTCATTTGAACTTTTTATACTAAATTTTCAATCACCTTATTATATTGTTTAGTCACACTCTTGCGAATTAAACTTTGCTTTTTGTTTGTTCGATATACAACAACCCTTTTACCCACACTTATATTTGTCCCGCGTCGCCAATAGCTCTGATACCACATGTAATAATTATAGACTATAATACTTTAATCATGATTTTCAACTATCATGTTATTTACGATTTCTATAATGCGAAAATAATAGATACAAGGTTTATTCACATACCAAGATCCATGTGATGAATAAAAAAAAGTTGTAGAAAAAATATTTCTCTCAACTTCACCCTCATTCTTCTCACTTTACGATTACTGGAATTACGGGTATGCAGCCAGGATATGTAGGGTAGAGAGAGGACAGTTTTCCTAATGTTAACTTCCAAAAAAAAAAATTACTCCCCTTCCCCTAAAATATCTCACTAAAATAGACGTGCTTATCTTTTTTAGAGCCAATAACTACCTTAATATTTAAAATTCAAATAAAGTCAATTATTTTCGGTCACATCATTAATTCTTACCCTAAAATATCTCACTAAAATAGACGTGCTTATCTTTTTTAGAGCCAATAACTACCTTAATATTTAAAATTCAAATAAAGTCAATTATTTTCGGTCACATCATTAATTCTTACATCCCTCACCCTCATACAACGTACTTCTCAAGATATCCACTGATGTGATCATACAAAGCGTGCTTGTCAAACAATTGATGATGATAGCTCTTGCCAACATAATGAATTAACACATTCAAAACTAATAGGCTCGAGAGATTCCGAATCACCATTCCACCAACAATGAATCCCACATCTATTATCTTGGTTAACACTCCATCATCCTGCCATAAACAGGCTGAGGGCAAAAAACAGCAGCATATTGGTACACAATCGGATAGTGGACAAGATAAGCTCCCAGAAACTGCACTTCCCCAGAAGGCAGATTGTGAACTTAATACAGCAAAGGGCCAGCAAGAAAATTCTAGCCCACAATTGCATGAGGGGGAAACCAGTGAGAAGGGAAACAATCAGTCTGATCAAGTTGAGGAGCAGACAGAGAAAACTACTGGAGCAACAGAAAATGGGGGGCAGATTAACCTCGTTTCAGATTGCAATGCAAAACAGAAAACTAAAAGTACTGTGCAGGCCAAAAAGACAACAAAAAAAGCTAGCAAAAGGGGTAACACCCTAGCTATCTTATCATGAAGATTGCTTCCTGGAACATAAGGGGTTTAAACCGTCCCCTGAAACAAAATGGTGTGCGGGAATTTATTAGGAAGCATAATATTGACATTATGGGAGTTTTGGAAACCAAACTTACGGCTTCAAAACTTACCCGTATTATGAGAAACAAATTTAAAGGGATGATGCAGATCAATAATTTTGGCTTGCACGAAGCAGGAAGGATTCTTATTCTATGGAATCCCTCAAAAGTTTCATTGGAGGTGATTGAGTGTACTACCCAAGTCATACATTGTATTGCGACATGTAAGGTAACATCCCTTATTTTCCATGCTAGCTTTGTTTATGCAAATCATACCATTGTCACTAGGAGGCCATTATGGGAAAATCTTATGGGTATGAATGTTTCACTTCCTTGGTTGGTGCTGGGAGACTTCAATAATGTGTTGAAATTCGATGAAAAATGTAACGGGGCGGAGGTTACCCCATATGAACTGAGGGACTTTGCAAATGTGTGTCTCCAGTTGGGTCTCACAGATCTGAGTTCCATTGGCTGTTTCTACACCTGGACAAATAACACAGTGTGGAGCAAATTAGACAGGGCTATGGTAAATGAAATATGGATGCAGAATGGTGCCTTGGGGATTGCAGATTTTTTACCATCAGGCTGCCTCTCGGATCACTCCCCTTGCATAGTTTCCTTCCTGGAAAGAGACGGTGTGAATAAAAGACCCTTTAGATTTTTCAACATGTGGGCGAATCATGTGGACTTTCTGGATGTCGTCAATAGAGGCTGGAATATTACTATTAATGGCACTATGCAATTTCGGCTCTGCAAGAAATTACATAATATGAAAGGTATCTTGAAGGAACTTAATGCAAAACACTTTGGACACATCTCTACAAGGGCTAATCAAGCGAAGCTGGAGTTGGAGGATAGCCAAACAATGCTCCATAATCAGCCATCTAATCTTCAGTATCAAACTTTGGTGGCGGGGTTGAGGAAAAAAGCTCTGGACCTTTGTGAGGCAGAGCGTAGTTTCTACTACCAGCAGGCTAAATGCAAATTTATTATGGAAAGCGATAAGTGCACAAAGTTTTTCCATGCAATGGTAAAGAGAAATACCAAAAAAAATTTTATTGCCAAGGTGTTGATGGAGGATGGGAACTACACGGAATCACAAGAAGAAGTTGCAAATCAGTTCATTAAATTCTACAGCACTCTCTTAGGCACGAACTGCCCAGTTTCGGCCATAGAGCAGAATATTATGAGAAGAGGTCCCTTGGTAACACAGGAGCAAGGTACATCGGAGTAAGCACTACAAAGAACAGTCGAAATCAAAGATGCACTTTTTGACATAGGCGAAGATAAATCCCCAGGCCCGGATGGATTTTCGTCATGCTTCTTCAAGAAAGCATGGGGTACTATTGGTGAAGATTTTACAGCAGGCATCAAAGAGTTTTTTACTATGGGATCACTACTCAAACAGGTGAACCATACGGTGATTGCATTGGTCCCTAAATCCAGCCATACCTCCAGTGTTGAGGACTTTAGACCCATTTCATGCTGCAATGTTTTTTACAAAGTCATTGCAAAGATCCTTGCCACTAGACTGAGACCTATATTGGGGAGTATTGTTGATCAAGCCCAATCGGCTTTTGTTGAAGGAAGAAGTATGATGGAGAATATACACCTTGCGCAAGAGCTCATGAGGCAATATAACCGGAAAAGAGTTGCTCCTAGATGCCTACTTAAAGTGGATCTCCGTAAGGCATATGACTCCGTTGACTGGGATTTTCTGGAAAAAATGCTTGAAGGGTTATGTTTTCCCCCGATATTCATAGGATGGATAATGGAATGTGTTACAACCACCTCCTACTCCGTGGCCCTAAATGGAAGCATACATGGTTTCTTCAAAGGAAAAAAAGGGCTCCGGCAAGGTGATCCACTCTCACCCTTTCTTTTCGTCTTATGTATTGAATACCTATCAAGAATGATTAAGGAAGCTACCTATGAAAGTGACTTCAACTTTCATCCAAAATGTGGGCCACTTAAGATTTCGCACCTAGCATTTGCGGACGATCTTATGCTATTTGCAAGGGGAGACATCACCTCGGTTAAAATCTTGATGGATTGTTTAAACAAGTTTGGGGATGTATCGGGACTGAGGATGAACAATATGAAATCCAGCCTATTTACAGCGGGTGTTTTTGGGCAAGAACTTGAAGAAATTCAGGAAATCACCAACATCCCTAGGGGCACCATGCCTTTTAGGTACCTGGGTGTTCCTCTTGCTTCGGGAAAGCTTAAAGTAAGTTGTTACGCCCCATTCCTGGATAAAATTGCTGCTTATATTAGCTCTTGGACTTGCTCATCATTATCATATGCGGGAAGAGCAGAATTGATTAGGGCTGTGCTTCAAGGTGTGGAATGCTTCTGGCTATCATTGCTGCCTATTCCAGCTACTGTTATTTCTAGAATTCAAAGCTTATGTCGCACCTTTCTTTGGGGCTCCAAAAAACCGTTGGTTGGGTGGAGAGAAGTGTGTTTACCGAAAAATGAAGGAGGTCTGGGATTTAGAGACTTAAAATGCTGGAATTCTGCTCTTCTATCGAAAGTGCTGTGGAATATTCACAATAAAAAGGACACCCTGTGGGTGCGTTGGGTAAACCAAGTTTACCTTCGGAGGGCCTGCATCTGGGAAGTTCAGCCACTAAAAGATCACTCGCCTCTACTCAAAAAACTGCTTGAAGTCAGAAATTTTTTCAAGCTGCGGTGTGTACAGGGGCAATCCGTCCAGCCCACTTCCGAGGCTGCAGATCAGTTTTTTGGTCAGTTTATGGTCAGTAATGATGGAGGTTTCTGTACTACGAAGGCTTATAACCTGTTCAGACCCAAAGGAAATTTCAGATGCTGGGCGAATGAAGTGTGGAGACACTACATCACCCCAAAGCATGCATTCACACTATGGCTGGGAATACAAGGTAAACTACTTACAAAGGATAAACTCCTCTATTTGGACATTGCACGTAATTGCGTCTTCTGTTCATCTCAAGTGGAATCTTGCTCCCATCTATTTTTTGACTGCCCGTTCTCTTCGCAAATCTGGGAAAGCATTAAGGAATGGTTGGGAATCACAAGAGCCATGACAACATTGGCTAGTGCAATTAAGTGGTTGAAAAAGGAAGCGAGAGGTACCATGTGGCGAAGCAAAGCAAAGAAGATTGCCTTGGCAAGCACAGTCTACTACATATGGATGGCTAGAAATAGAATGATTTTTGAAAAGATGAGACCCCATGTAGTAAGCATTGTAAAACTTATCAAAACACATGTATACAAAGTTATGTTTTCTTTGTATCCTAATGTTTTGATGTGTTATGAGTCGCTAGCTATGGGATAAACTCTTTCATTACTTTTGTGTTTTTGACTTCTTGGGTACGGCCACTTCTTATGGTCTCCTCTTTGTATTTATATTGTTGATTCACCCGGGTATGCCCGGAGCATGTGTACTCTGATTTGATCAATATATGTTTCTATTTACCGATCAAAAAAAAATACACCCAAAAGGACATTAAGCAGCACACAAGAAGACAAGTAACTAAAAACTAGAAAGAGACCCTTGACAATCATCCCATTCAACAACTCCTCATAGCTCTTCTTCATAGTTGCAAGTCTGTCAAATTTATAAGAGTTTGAGTTACTTTTTTTAACAATGTTGATTTTTTAAGATGGAACCTCAAATCTTAACATGGTATCAGAGCCCATTAAGCTCCAACGAGCAATTCGATCCGATTAAGACTAAAAAAAATTGAGCACACGAATCTCAAGATTGGTCTGCTCAAACGAGCCACATGTTAATGAATAAAATTCCATATTGAATAAAGATGAAAATATAAATCAATTTATAAGAGTTTAAACTACTCATTTTAACAAGGTTGACCTTTTAAGATGAAACCCCAAATCTTAACACTTTTCCTCAGAAAGGTCCATGGCTTCTTTCAGTACAAACTGTAGAAGGAAAAAGAATTAGAGTGAAATTTGGCTGAGGGAATTCGAAGGTGGTGCTAATCTTGGTTGCAAATAGCCGGCTGCAACAACAATGCAGTGGTGGCCATTTTCGTAACATGCCCAAATGCATGCGTATCAATCTATTTACAGTAAAAATTATTCTGAAAGCGATAAATCTCTTCCCATCTAAAGATAATAATTGCAGTATTTTTCTATTATTAACCCCTATTTGATGTCGATTAAAATTGAATTTTTAGCAAATTTTGATAAACGATGATTAAATGTGTGGTAAAAAGTTGTGGATCCATGAAATCGTGGTTAAAATTAATTGCAGTTTTTTCATTGATTTGAATAATACTAAAACCAATTAATGATCTTGATTTTTTACATCATGGAATGTCAACTAAGATGTACAAATAGCTTAATTCTCTCTCTCTCTCTCTCTCTCTCTCTCTCTCTCTTTTGTGTTTACTTTGAAGGCGTTGGCTCGATTCCGCACCATTTATATCAAAAGATGAGGATGAGAGGAATGTAAGTCTGTCTAACTTCTAAGGCCAAGCCTGTGGTGATTTATTTTTACCTTGCTGATGAAACCCCTGATTGCACTAAGGTCATGTTTGGTGGAAATTAAAATCGAATTTTTAGTAAATTCTGATAAAAATTGATGAAATGTGTAGTTGAAATTGTGGGACCCATAAAATGTGTGTTTAAAATTAATTGTTAATTTTGACTTAGATTAAAATACGAGTTTTAATTTCTATCAAATGAGGGATAAATAGGTACATTTTTTTATTTATTGTTAAAAAAATTGTAATTTTGACTAAACCACAATCATTGGGCTTTACATGAATATGATCCATAGAGAATCCAAATTGGCATAAACTTTTGCACCCTTTTTGTTGGCATTTCCGAGTTTTCTTTATCAGAAATCGATTAGGCGCTCATCCAAGGGGAAAAGCTAAAGAAATCCTGGCCAAAGATGCCAATGTAAGCCATTTGGTTAATCTTGAAGAAA